TATATATATATATATGTATATATATATATATATATGTATATATATATATATATTCCATTAACTAAATGAAATACAGTACTAAATTGCTTATTAAATAAGTTATTAATAAATGACAAACATATCAAAACTGTTTTTACTGATATACAGAAATTTTATTTTCTACCAAAAGCTTTAAATTTATTACCATTTATTTTAATTGCAAATAATTACCATTCAAGTATTTCTTCACTCCAGTTTGTTTCTGCTGCCTCAGTTTTAATGAATTTCATTTGCTTTCCATTAACTAGATGGAATTCATTTGCATATGGATTCTGATGAGGCTAAATGAAAGGAGATTCAGTTTTCATTTTTTATGAACAGTAATACTATGTGGGTTAACTCTACTTAACTAAGTATTGGAGTGCCACATTGTTGCCCCAGTTATTAGAACGATGCCTATGGAGGGAGTATTCTCTCCATAGAATCAGCGAATTTTGCTCTCTACCATCCAAGGTACCCACTTATACTCCTGGGTGGATAAAGACAACATAGATAAAAGTGCCTTGCCCGGGACATGCGCGACCTGCACAGCAAGGTTTAAAAAATAATAAATAAATAAGGGTTTGGACTTTAAGAATAAGAGTCCAATCCTCAAGCATTGCACCAATAACATCAAGGCGTTTTAAGGGATTTTTCTTGTGATCTCTTTACAACAACCAAAATATTCCTCTGATATTTTCAATCTTGCAGGACCCAGTAAAAGATGGTGAGGCTAAAATCAAAGCAGACTTCGATAAGCTACTAGATAATATGCAGCAAGGATTTAGAAACCTTGAGGACTAGTTTGAATCATTCTATCCAGTATTGAGCTCCAGGATTAATATTAAAGAATGATAATGCAATAAGATTTGAGAACAACATAGGGATTATCATGTAATCCATATTGGATTAGAATCCATACATGGGTTTATTGAAATATACTTTAGCAATTGGAGGATTTGTGAATATGATAGTGTCAGTAAGAGGAAATCCAATAAAAGTAGTCTCAGACTTATTTGTTTTTTTATGATTCTACACATCAGAGCAGATGATGCAGTAATCCCAGCCAGCATATCTTACAGTTGTGGTACATTTTGAATAAAGAATTTCATATTAGGGATTTAATTAATTATATTATAGCATGTTATTTCCAAGGTATAAATTGGATGGGGGAGATTGTTTCATGATTAGGTATAGTTGTATGGTCGGTTGTTGGTAATAAAGTGTATCTATGCTAATGGATTATGTGAGGATAGTCATATATAGAATTATTAAATGTTATATTAGATTTACAAAAGTATATTTATAAAGACAGGTTTGGCAATCAGTAGAATAACTGGAATAACTGTGGTCTTTGTGTAATGCGTCAAGTCAAAATTTTTCTTAAATGTTTGTAGCAATAAATGTTTTAGAAATCTACTCTTAAATATATTGTGATATGTTGAGACATGAATCATCTTTACTACAAAAATTTTAATAACAAAGCATTCCACGTTTTATTATTTGTTTTTATTATTGTTATTCTGTTATTATAATTTATAAATGTATTATTATCCACATTATTATTGCTTATATTATTGATATTAACATTAATAATTGATAATTAATTAATTATTATTAATGAGGCTGTGTAAGGTATTCACTATAATCTGCCCCAGGATAATTCATTGGATGAGTACCATTATGTTAACAGCATTAAATTAATGCATAGCAAAATAGATGTTCAAAGGAGAACTTCTGACTGGTTAAATTTTAAAAGAGGGTGTTGTCTCCAATATTAATGCAGTTTTTCTGATTTATTACTACTGTATTATTATTTATACTTATGATGGTGGATTTTTGTAATTATATTTTTAATAAGATAATGGTTCTCTTATCAGGAGGCTGTTATTGCAAGGGAATTTCATAAGGTCATATTGAGGTTGGTGATCTCAACTGTCCGTGATTATTTTATTATATTTGCATCATAAAAAAAATCAGTAATTGTCTGTTTTGAAAATAAAAATAATAAAATGTGCATTTCCTGTTTTTATTGGAATATAGCCTCACCAGGTGTACAGTTTAATCTTACAGGAACCATAGTAATCCTTTTCTATCCACCGACTTCCATCTGTTAGGTAACACCTAAATGTTAATCCCATTATGTGCCCTGCAACCATCCGTCAGTGATGTATCGATGCTTGCTGGGTGAAATGCTAATAATGATGTTGGAGTCAACACACAGCCTGTAGGAAGTAATGGGGAGTAAATTTTGCATATTTTGATTATATATGCTCATGCTGCAGGTGTTCTGAATGTCATCCAGGTGTGTTCTGAATTCAGAATTTTAAATGTCAACAAAGTCACACAGAGTACACAATTGCGATTGTCTGTATATCAGTTGATATAAAATATATTTGAAAATAGATTCTTTGTCTCCTCTTGCTTATTTTATACGTATTACCTATCTGCTGGCAGGAGGAAAAACTGTCTTTAGTCTCAGACATTTTGTCTGATGATTTGCTATTTGTATACAATCCAACTTAACAACCGACCAATCACAACAGGCCAGGAACACACGCGTGTCTAGCAAGCACGCGTGTTATCCCACAAACGCATACGTTTTCGAATGTTTTAACACTCGTTTTGTGGGACTTTTGACGAGACTTTTTTATATCATGTTTCGCGAACTTATTTTTTTTAAAAGATTGTCAGGGGAGAGCGGAAAAAGTACAGTAATATAAAAAATTTTTTCTTACTCAAAAACATCCAGACGAAGGAGAAAATAAAAATAAAATTTTAGTGGTGAATGTAAACAGTGTAGTACTGTAATGGGATGGTTAAATGCTTTAAATTTATATAATTAGGAAGAAATATTATACATATCTAATTTTGAAGATTTCAAGGCAGCGACGGGCGTAATATTTTTTTTTTTTTTTTTTTTTAAATTTTCCCTCTCATGGCGGTGGATGTGCAATTTGACCAAAAATAAAATTGTATTTTTATTTTATATTATTGGCGGGCGGTGGGTTCGATAAACAAGGTATAAAAAAAAAAAGTCTCGCCTTAGCAACAGTGTCTAAGTGTTCGCCCTCCACTACTTCGAGACCACCTTTGGGACCTGAAAATTTGGGTGGTGTCGGGGTTCGATCTCCAATTAGAGGGTTAGCTTTGTGTTAAGAGATTGAAGATTATTAATTGATACTTTGAATAAGTGGTGTCGAATTGGAGGGTGGATTGTATTACTTAAACTTTGTAGTTTCTCTTGCTGCTTCTTTGACAAAATACTGTTGTATGCCCATATATAGTCACGATGTGCCTATGGTTGTGATGTTATCATGACCATATTTAGGCATGTCACATGTTTTGTGGTAGTGTGGACAGGGCTACCACCTTGACGTCATTTCGTGATCAAGGTCCGCCGAAGTAGCAGCCAAAAAAGCTAAAACTATACTGCATTTAAAGACAATATATTAACGTTATTAAACCTGATGAATGTTTTCAATAATTGATAGATTACTGTACATCACTTAATGTAGTAACTGTACCTACATTTAGTTTTCCTTGCACATAAAGCAATATACAAACATGCGTACTTATACGCTGTGTGTAAGACTTGTAGGCTTAATATTACCGCCCACGAAAATTGCGTAGGCACACCTGACTATTCTGAATACCAATAAAAAATAGATTTCTAAATATAACATTTACATTTACACAAAATATTCTATAAATGTCCAATATAAATTTGTTTTTAAATTATGTCCAAGATAAAATTCAGTTAAACTATTTTCTAAAATAACATTCACACACAACACTACTCTGCATAGCCTTAACATTAATTTCTGAATATAATTTAAACATTCACACAAAGTATATATACAAGTAGGTCTATATAGAATGTTCAAAATATAATATGACTCATAAATTTATTTAAATAGACTCAATGGAAGTTATATTAAATATAATATGCCCAATATATTTGATTTGATTTTGATTTATTCAATATGCTCTTTAACAAATACATAAACAAATGAACATAAACAGATCGAATCACAAAAGAGCATATCGGCGATAACCCTAAACAAATGCGAAAAATACAATTATTTCCATAGGGATCCCCTACATGAACTAACGTGAAATGAACAATTAAAAAAGATTGACCAGACCAACAACAAAATATAGCTAAAAAATACATATTCAGTCCTCAATTATCTCAGTAAAAATATACACAAGCCTATATATATATATATATATATATAAACGTTTCCCACTGTCTCTTATACACATCTAGATGTGTATAAGAGACAGATGTATGTATGTATATATACATACACACAATTATAAAGTATAGGCCTATATAATTATAAAATTCGGAACAATCTACAGACAGAATTATATAGATTTTCTAAATATAATTTTATACATTCACAAAATGTAATATCAAAAGAAAATTATATTAAATATAACAATGTATTTATAATAGGCCTGAAGGTAATGGCACTCAAAAATTCGTACAATAGGACCTTTATGTTGTATAATGACATAGTATAATAAAAGGTCTTAAAAGTGTTTTATTTATATGGATAATACAATAATATAAAGCTAATGTTCTTAAGCTAAAATTGTTCTCAAAACACTAGATCTGTAAGAATTTCATCTGGCTCCAAAAATAATTGACTTGTTAACTGCAGTAATGAGAAAAATTTTAAATATATGCTGTATATTGTAAGAGACACAGCATTTTTTCGGCAGTAAAATGTGTTGTTTTTTGCTTATTTATTATTCTATAAACGTCGCAGAGCCTAATGCGAGTACAATTAGCCTACAACCTGCCTTTTTTGTTGAAAATTCCCAGAAAGTATATAGGCCTAATGCTGCAATCATTCAGAGCCAATATACAAATACCATTTTAACACTTAATAGATTCAAGAAGCTTTATAATAGATTATAATAAGCGCTGCTATCGAATAAGGCCTCTGGAGTAAACGCCGTGCACCAAAGCCTTCACAATGTGAAAAGCGCTTCGCCACTTCACTGGATTTGCGTTATGCAAGTTATAATCTCGAAATTTACTTGGTGACTGCATGCCAAGTTACAAAACTACTTTCAATGTAGTTGTTATGTGATTGATCGTGTCATGTACATGCATTTTAATCGTACAAATAGACTTAATGTATTTCAAAGTAAATTGTTTGAAAGCATAAATTCATCATTATTAATCATGGTCGACTATTATAGGGCGCATATTAGACCTCAATGCGCTTATTAATGATTGGTTTATTGATTGAATCAGGAGAAATCTGACGAAAATAATGCTGTACAAATTTGAAGAAAATTGCATGTTTTCATGGATCTGGCCAACTCCGGCTAATTAAAATATATAACATAGACAAAATAAGGCCAAGCAATTTGTACCTATCGTGCGTATATCATACCATGGACGAAATATCTTTAGATATTTCCTCCATGACCTACCGTATCGTAGGCATATTCGTATTATTCTTTAAAAATGATAATTCCATCCAAGTAATGCATTTTGTTTTCTATGTTGCGTACTGATTCAATAACTAACAATTACATTCTTCAGACAATTCTTTACCGCCGTCAATGTTCTGAAACATTTTTATCATTGAGTTGACATGGCCACTAGCTATGGTGCGTTTACTTTGTCCGACAGCGTCGACGGCGTCATTTTGCAACGGTGTTACTATCACTTTTGATTCGATCTTGTCTGTTGGTTTGGCAGGCTGCGTTTTGTTATCGAGATCATTATGGGAATTGTTACTTGTAATTTTTACACTGTCAGAATCCTTTACAAAACTATTGAAGATTAAATTTGGCTTAGTTTTATCGGTGGATTTGACATCGTTTTTACTTGACGATGAAACTTTCTCATTTCTTTCTACCAAAACAACAGATTGCGGAGGCGCTAGTAGATTATCTTTTATTGTTTGTTTGATCTGTGATGCTTGGTGGCTATTCTCATTATCTTGACGTTTCCTATTTTTTAGGCCGACTTTTTCGTCTTTTGGATGGGTTTCGGCGTCCTTTTGTGTATTTAGATTACCCTTATCCTGAAGGTTTGCACTGCTGCATTGAAGGCTCAATTTACCACTATTCTTCGGATTGTTGTTGCTGTCTGGCTGATCGTCTTGTATGTTGTCTTGAAGTTGGCTTTTAATCTGATAATTATCTATGCTCTCAGGTTGATGATTCACTCTTTCATTTTGATTATAGCTGTCTTGGGTAACCCCATTGGTTGGTTTGTTGACCTGAGGAGTAGTTTTGCTGTTTTTTCTTCCATTAGTTACAAGTTCGACGATTACAGGTTCGTCCTCTTCGTCACTAATGACAATGAATTTACGCTTTGCTACGACCTCTGTGTTGTATGAGTCGACAACATCTTCTGCCGTGGCAACGTTTCCCATTAGTATGTCTTTCACATTTCTATCGTATTTATTCGCTGATATGATGGATATCCCCGACTTGTTATCGCTGGAAAGAACATCTTTGATTTCCCCTTCACCGTCTGTTTCCACAGGCCCTTCTAGCTTGAAGCTAACAGATTTCTTATTGTTCTTTGCATTCTTCTGCTTTTTGCTCACGTTTGTACCTGAACCATCTTTTGATCTGTTAACTACGTCATCAACATCCATGTTGTCTGTATTCAATTTCATTATCCCTTTCTGTGATCCCGTTGGCGAATTTATATTAGTTTTATCAGCACCTTTATTCAATGCTTGCATTGGCACGCTTTTTCTTTCCTTGTCTGATGAGTTCTTTATGAAGTTTTTCTGTTTCACTATCTGTTCTTCTCTTTCCTCATCGGTTGAAACTGAGTTCATTCGAATAACATCGGCACGCTGTCTACTTCGATGGTGGGGGTCAATTCGCTGATGTTTTCCCTTTTTCTTTTTATCTGTCTTCCCTCTTTTACCACCGATCAACTGTGACGTTTGCTGAGGATGCTGATCCTGTGCAACCGTACTAGACGTATTTTGCAAAGGATTTAATGGTTTTTGAACATATTTCTCTGTAATTTCAGTTACCGTCGTTCCATTTGAAACACCATTTTGCTGATTTTTGTACTTTGGGTATCTTGTATCACGCCCATTTTTTGTCATGCTCGGCGTTTGGTCTAACGTTTCTGAGATACTTGTCGGTGGAGGTACTACTTGGCTTACTAATGTATTTGGTTCACTCTCGTTTTTATGATTTACGTGTTTTGTGAGCCCTTCTTCATGATGCTTAGACCGGTATTTTTGTTGCTTTTTAAAATGGCGCTTAAAACAGTACACTGCAATTGCAAATGTCTCTAATACAAACAGACAGCTTACTATAGCAAGTCCATAGCTATACCAAGTGTTAGAGCATTCCATGTTCAGCCAATCAACTGTGGAATAGAAAAACGTAACTATTGAGAAAAACAAAAGAACATAAAGCTTGGTTTCCATGCAATCGCTTGGCATCGTGACAACTTTCGGTGATGCCGATTGGTCAAACCCGAGAGCCTTGCGTCGGGTGAGGGGTGGCACCAGCGGGTGGTGGAGGGGGAGTCGGCGAGAAAAACCATAATTCGGCGGGAGAAAAAAATGTATGTATCTTTTACACATTAGTAGACCCAATCCCGATTAAATAAGCCTTTGAAACCCCTAAATTTTCATATTTCGAGAGAACACGGATTTAAAGGAAATTTGAATTGTAAGAATAGGTAATATTTTACACTCTTCTTTTTAATGGACATTTCTCCAAAAGATTTAATAACTTTCCTTCCTCTATAAATAATTTCTTTCTGAAATTGGGAGTATTGCGTGATATCGTACTTTCTTCCGATAACTAAAGCATATCATTGCGCAGATTGCTCTATATAACATTGATCCCCGGGCTTTTCCTGTCACATTACGTCATCCTAGGTCTATGTACTTTTTATGATTAGTATGTATTATTATGGAATATACGGATATTTTCCCTTCAGGCCGTCTTTTGTTTACGTGTGTAATACTCAAAAAGCTCATCGCGTTTTACAGATTAGCTAATTAACCTTTATGACTTCAAAAATGTTTGATAGGACTATGAAATTTACATTAAGATGAGTAACAATTTAAATGGTTCGTTTCGTTAACAACGATTTTTCGTTGAGTATTATTTTCATTCGGCTGGTTCGTAAAATAGTCTTCGTTGGCAACGAAATTAAGGTAAACCAGAGTGCGTTAATTTGCAATACGTTATCCACGACACCAAAACAAACATGGCCTATTGGTCAGTTCAGCAACAGCATTTGTGTTAATATAATTTAGATTACATTTCAGAAAATAATAATTATAATATAAACATAAGTCAAAAAATAATTGTAGTAGGCTAACATAATTTAAAAACTGCATGAAAACATTTTTTTAACGAAAAATCCATACTGCCACAAACTGAAGCAACATTGATTACGCTATGCGTGTATCGTGGTAACTACGCAGTCGTTTTGTTTTGTCGAATAGGCCTATTTACCAGTTTTCTATTCGTCTGGTCGTAGGATTTTGCCACTCTGCGCAGACAAGCGTGGTTTAACGAAGAAGACCAGTCAAATACAATATGCAATATAGGCATATAATGTTGATATAGGCTTATTTTTAAAAAAGTAATTATCTTTAAATCTATGACAATGACAATTATTCAAACACAGTAATGCAGTAATGCTATTCATCACAATTTCACATACCGTAAGTCAATATCAACCAGTCGAAAAAATATATCTACAAGCCTAGCTTGTGAAAGAAAAAACATGTTGCTTAAATTGATACAGGCCTAAGTCTGTGTTGGCAGAATTTGGTAGGCCTAACCCTAGTAAGAAAAATTATTCACAGGAAATAGGACGGATACAAAAACTTACACGCTTACACAAACATGCTTTATTCTAATTCAACCCATTTCTTTCCATTCAAATGTAAATACATAAAAGCTCCATGTACATATAGCTGGTGACCCGCAGGCAAAATTGTGTGTATTAACAGATGCAAAGAGAAGAACATCAAATCAATGGAATGAAATAAACAAGTACAGTGTATCAGGCAGTTCTTAGATGTATAACAGCGACTACGATTTGACTTCTTTCCAGTACGCTATTTTTACCATTCGGCAATAGGTACACGGATTGTATAGGCCTACTGTTCATGGTGGTCGGGGAGCGCTCGCGTTTCAACACTTGGGTATCAAACCCTATTAAATATAGGCCTATTTCTGAGCAATCCGGACGCAGATGCATTTAATATTCTTTTCCATTCAGCGTTAATTTTCTTATGATCTTTTTTTCTTTCTAAAAACGGCGCCTTATATGCTATGTTCATACACGGCAGCTCACGGCTAGCCGTGCACCCGTATATTCATGCAAGAAAATCCCTGATCCAGACACCAAGAAGATAATGATCGGATCACTGGCCAATAGGAAACCGGAAATTGGAAATGCGTGCGTGTAATTGGTTAGAGAGCAGCTTAGTTCAGTCGGCTAATCTGCTGGTAGCCACTGTGTGTGTGCTGAACCGTGGAGACCTGCAGGTCCCCGGTTCAATTCCCATCGCTGCCTCTCCCCGTGTTGAAGGGCTGAAGTACAAGTTACAATAGCGCACCGTCTTTCGGATGAGACGTTTATAAGCTGTTGGTCTCTTTTAGTGCATTTATGGCCTAACAAATAACGCAGTACACTCTTCGGAAAAGAGTAGGGGATTGTCTTCCGGTGTACTACCCAATTACCACCAGAAGGACCCCACTGGAAATAAGTCTTCTTCTAGACTTTCGTGGGCTATTCTTGGTGTTTACACCAAATAAATCCAATCCAATACTGTATGAGTGCATATTCATTATGACTGTGAAATAAAAAAATACAGATACTTTAGTTTTTAACAAGTTTTTAATCAGCGGCGGCGGAACGTTTTTGAAAGGGGGGGGGGGGCTTTTCATAAGGTCGAGTATGCAAGCGAAGCAAGCATCTAGGCTGGGGGGCCAGTGGGCCGCCAAGGGCCCCGGTGGGGGTCCAGGGGCTTCGCTACGGATATTTTACGAAGTTTGGTGAATTTTATAAGTTATTTTATAGGCATCAAGCTACTGTAATATGATTTCATATTTGTTGTAATTTCCAGTGGTGGATCCAGGAATTCGAAATAGAAGGGCCCAGGGAAGGTACTTTCACAGATAGAAGATCTATACTATCTCAGCCCCAACCATGGTGGGAAGAAAAGTTGTGATTATGGCACCTCTAGATGACTGGAAATAGCACTTCCAGACATAAAATTTGAATATAATTATCTTTATATCTCCATTTTTTATTGAACAATTTAGGAGAGTGGGGGCGGGCCGGCTGGGTCCCCTTGAATCCGCGACTGGGTACTTCAGCAGATAGAGAATCTATACCACCTCAGCCCCACCATGGTTGGGGCTGAGGTAAGAAAATTTGTGATTATGGCACCTCTAGATGGCCGGAAATTACACTATTAAACTTAAAATTTGAATATAATTTTCCTTATATCTCCATTTAAAAAAAATTGTACAATTTAGCCTCCCCTTCCCCTTGAACGCACCACAGATTTCTGAACAATGTCGAAGTCGAGATTGCTTCCTCAATGAATTATTTGATATGAGGGTTATCCTTGATATGGGTTCCCCGACGAAAACTTCACTTTTTTCCCCATGGATAAAAATTACCCTTCTATGTAGCTCGGAAATGATACTCCAACTGTGGCGGGTCCAGGAAGTCAAAATAGAGGGTTTCAGGGAGAGTCTTGCGTAAATAGAATGTCCACCCGCCTTAGCCACAGAATTGTTGGGGTTGAGGTAAGAAAAGTTATGATTATGTCACCTCAAGATGGCCAGAAATGGCACTCTCAGATTAAAAGTTGAATACAATTTTGTCTGTTTTCTCCATTTTTTTAAAAATAATTTTGAAAAAAAAAAAATAAGGATGGGGTCCCGTGCTGACTGGGTTTCCCCTTGAATCTGCCACTATTCAATATAACACTTGACATAGCCTATAATTTTGTTTCACAAATGATTAATTGCTAATGTCAAGCGAAATATTTTTTTATTCGAAATTTTTTTTTCGACTCAATACAGTTTTTACAACCTATAACACATTAACTACATTGTACTGTAAATTCTGTAGTTAACCTTCAGACAACTTTATTTTTTTTAAATAGCCTTATTAAGTATCTTATTGTTTTCGTTAAATTAGAGTTTAAATGTGGTTATATTACGCGTACTATACATGTTCGTGGTTAGCATAAAGAGAACTAGAACGTCGCTCCATTAAGAGTACCTACCTTCCCCATATACCTAAATACAGAATTCACGAATGCAGGCGATTTTTTCTTCAATGCTCGAGGGTGGGTTTTTCAAAGAAACTTTACAGACGCACGAATACAGACATCAATCAACATTTGGTTGCTGAACTCAAAAAGGGAAATTGTAATGTTCGTTAGAAAATGAAAAAAAAATCTATACCTTATAATAATAGTAATAATAATAGGTCAATTTATAAGGCGCAAATAAACAAGGTGTAAGCAAGAAATAATAATACTAATAGTAATAGTAATAATAATAATAATAATAATAATAATAATAATAATAATCATCATAATAAATAATAATAATAATAATAATAGTAATAA